GTCAAGAAAGAGACAGGCTCAGATAAAAGCTTCCAGGTGGGATACAAAGAGATCATTGAGTCAGCGCTATCAGCCCAAAGGCAGCTACAAAAAGAAAATGATGAGACAGGCTTTGTATTGAAAGCAACAGTGCGCAATGGACTACTGGCATATTCTTGCAATAGCCAAGGAGAGTTCAAACCCATCAAGAAGCAGCCATGGTATTCAGCTGATGAGTACCCTATGGGCACAAAGCGCATCCCAAGTGAATGGCTGCTTCCCAGGTGGGAGTGGCTGGATCAGGAGACCAAGGTGCCAATCAAGCCTGACTTTAGTTTGATGCAGCATGCCTCCCAGGTACAAGATTTGATTGAATGGTCATGCCTGCCAGCCCAGCAGCCAAGCATTGAGGGTGAGCCTAAGGTGGCTGAGGATGAGCTTGACATCCCTGACAGCTGTGTGGTTCAGGATGACCTCATCATGCCACTCCAGAATTCCTTATTTCTCTCTTTGTCCCCAGTCCTTCGAAGAGCAGCCATGAGGAGAATGCATGCAGACCAATCTTGGGCAAGCATCTTGGAGAAAGCTGATGAGGTAAAGAGAGAGAAAGCAAAGAGGCAATTGGTGAGGAATGCAGCCAGGAAATTTCTTTCCAAACAATTGCTCCAGAAAATGAGCAAAAGGGAAGCATTGGTGGAGATCAAGGCCAGGAGTTCCAACAAGAAAAGATTAGGGAAGAGAACTCTTGAGGCAGGCAAAAAGTTTAAAGATGTGAAGAAGGCTGTCAAGAAATTCAATAGCTGCAAGGCAAAGAAAGATCAACAAGCAAAAAAGCTGCTGTCTAAGAAGGGTGTGAGTGCCCTTGCTGATGCCCATGCAGCCTTGGCACCAGAGCCTGCAGCATCAGAGCCTTCAGCAGAAACAGCAGCAGCAAAGCCAGTGAAAGGTGATGAAAAGAAGCATGAGCTTGTTGGCCATCAGGTCAGACTTGTGAGTGAGGAGTGTGGCAAGAAGCACTATGGAGCTACAGGCCCTGTTAGCAGTGTGACTGGTGGAAAGGCTTGCATTCTGACAGGTCAAGGTGTAGTTCATACACCCATTGCCAACATCAGAGAGTTGGATCCCTCATGGAAGTTGCCTGCAAAGTTTTTGCCAGGCAACAAGGTGACCAGAGCAGCTTTGCAAGAGATTTTGGGGGTGAACATGAAGTGCCTTCCAGTAGCATTTGCAGAGCAAATGGATGATGAAATTATGATTATGCCCTTGGCAGAATCAGGGTACTTGGAAGATCAGCAGGTCATGGCATGCTGGGGCTGGATGAAGTGGCAGCTGAAGATTCCTGATGACATTGTGCTCTTGGACCCATCACTGCCATTCAGATTAGGCCTGAAGGAAGGATCTGCATCAGCAGAAGGAGTGCGTGATGAGATTTTGAAGATGACCAAGGGCATGAGGCAAGTGCTTGTCCCATGCCAGGGCCAGCATCCAGATCACTGGACCTTGCTGGCTGCGACTAGAGAAGGTGAAAAGTTCAGATTCAGGTACTTTGAGAGCCTTGAGGTCATGCATGAGAATTGCCTCCATTCAGCCAAGAGAGTGGCAAAAGTGCTGAATGAGGACCAGGAGGTCAACATAGCCAGAGAAAACCTCATCAGGCAGGAAGGTGCAGATTGTGGTTTCTTTGTTCTAGCCTACAGTGAGCAGGTAGCAACAGAAATCAGAGAAGGCCCAGCATCAAGAGGTTGGCCAGGAAACATCAAGGCAGACTGGGAGAAAAGGATTGTCTTCATAATGAAGGCTTTGAAGCAGGAGCATGAGAAGCTCATGCAAGCCAAGAAACAAGCAGAAAAGCAAGAGCAAGAGAGGAAGATCAAGAGAGAAAAGAAGATCAAGGAGCTGCAAGATAAGCTCAAAAAGATGAAGGATCACACCACAGCAGCTGCCATCAGTGCACAAAGCTTGCTGGATCAGAACTCCATGTTTTTCACAGCCTCCATGCTTACATCAGAGGCAATGCATAAGATATATTTGGCCCACCACCAGTCTACTGGATGCAGTAGGTGCAGGCATTCATCAGGGTGTTTGAGCTGTGATTCAACAAAGGCCATGAGTTATTGGATGAGAAAAGAGGCAAGCATGAAGGATAAAGTCTCACAATGGAAAGGACCAGGGGCTGAGGGAAGGGGGTTGTTGTTGTTGTTGTTGTTGTTGTTCTGTGTGTGTGTGTGCTGTGCATGCCTGGAGCTCAGAATCAGGTTTTGGAATCAGCTGAAAGCTGAGAATCAGCTTGGATGAATCAAGGTCTGGAAACAGCTGAAAATCAAGGTCCAGAAAACATTTAGTACTATTTGAGGGCCATTTACAATTGATTTTTGAAAAAAATTAGTACTATTCGCGGGCCATTTACTATTAGGAAGTCGACATTAGTGGCAAGAATTGTGAACTTGAGCAGCTTCCAGGAATTGTTGATGATCATTCATGACGTTTCTTCCAGGGTTCCTGTATGTTCCTGTTGTCGCATGAAGTTGTACGAAGACGAGGTCCTGACTCATTGACTCAGCAGGTAGCTGCCCATGTTGTTCACATGGTACATCAAGGCTGATCACCATTTGCAATGCGCATGCCTTTGCATGCAGAGCGGGCGCGGCCCCTACGAGGCCCCTGGTTACCACCTTTGAAAGCGTGTTGGCATGTTTTGGCCCAATAGCAAGGCTGTCCGAATCCCCTGTTTCCAAATCTCCAGCTTTCAAAGAATCATCCACTTGACGAAAGAGCATGTGGGTGGACTTGGCGGTTGCGAGACGTACCAACCGAGTGAAAAGCATGTTTGGCCCCGGCCATGGAGAATCCAACGGTCCGGCGCCAGACAACGAAGCTAGGCTTCATCATGGATGACGTTCCGGAAGGTCTTTTCACGACGTCGACGCAACTGGAGAGACACATCCCAAAGAGCCATAGCTACTTGGGTCTATCCGAACTGACCTGTAACAGTCAGTAAACAATCATCATCATTTTAGAACAAGGCCTGCAACCTAACCATCATCATCCACTGTTACAGGTAATAGGATAGACCCAAGCCACAGCAACAGATTTCTTCTAGTTTGTTGAAAAGAAGCGAGGATGCCATCTAAATTCATCCACAGTTCGTGAAACCTCCAGCACAAACCTGCTAGCTCTCCTGGTTGGTTCCACTTCTCAGACAGATCAGCTTCTCGGAAGGCAAGGATCCGAAACAAATTGGCACAAGCAGAAGGAAGAAAACGTCCACAGTTTCTCATCCACCAAACACGTGAGCCGAACACGTGGCCAAGTCCGATGTAGTTGGTGGACCAAATCAGAGGTGAAGAGACAGGAATTTCCGCGGATGGCTATCACCTCCTGCTGAGCTGAGCTTCAATTCCGGGAGTTGGTTTACTTGAGAAAGAGACGTGTAGGTTGGAGGCCATCGCAAGTAACAATTTCTACAGGAAAGGTCTATTGCTGCTTCCCAAATCGAAGGCTTCCTGTATAGTGGGCAACCCAATAATGTATGGACATGCTTTAAGGATGTTGTATGCCCTCTTTTCAGGCAGTCCCTTTTGAACAACCTCATCCTGTGACTATGGCCCAGCCTCAGATGGCGCTTTTTCTGATTGGGAGAGTGCCGTTGATGTCGACGTTCGATACCGCGCTGACCTTGATGAAAGCAGGGCTCAACTCCAAGCATGTGGTTTCCCGCAATCCACCAAGAGTAGCATGATGATGCATGAGGTAAAGGTTGCTTGTGCATTTGTACACCGCATGGTGACCAATCGAGTGGTACACCATAGATTAACAGAATGAACACCGATCAACCATCAATACATCCAAACTTGCATTCAAAAGAGTAGGACACACACACAAAAGTTGTTTTATTTCACACCATATCTGGTGGCTAGCTGTATTCTGAAACTTGGGGACGAAAAGCTGATCCCTGCAAAGATCCTCGACTGTTTTAATGATTGCTCCTTTCGAGATTCCAATGGTAGGGTGGGGACATGTTCACAGCCCTGTGCCGAGCTCTTCAGCCGGGTCACACACACGGGTCGTCTTGAAAAAAGACTGCATGATTCGATTCACAAAAGCCATGCCAGAGAAACCTAAAGCCATCCACCGGGCTGTGGCTTCACATAGTTTCAACACATAAAGACACCAACAGCCATGCCAGGTGAAACTGCCCCACCAAATCGCCACAGCAGAGTCGGTTCCTTTCGCGGCACAGGGTTTGGATCCTCACCTGAAGAACCACTGGGCTTCCAAGAGCGACGAATTTCAGTCCAACTCCTTCGTCCCGTCCGCCGCGAAAAACCAGCGACGAATGCCGCGTTCGCGAGACTTGCGATGCGCGGTCATGCGATGCGCGAGGATGCCGAGGCTAAGTGGGCGTGTGGGACGCGTGATTGGGGCGGTGGAAAGACTCAACTGGGGAAATCAGGCACTAGGGGCATTGGCACTGGTACACCACTACGAAAGAACGGTTTATTTGGCTGAACATTTGTAACTCATTGTGAATTTTTTTTGGGGGATATGGTTTATGTCAGGCACCTTTGTTCTCTACGGTAGTTTGGTGAGTTGGGCAAACGAAAACACTCAGGACTCGTAAGAATCCCGAGACATGCATACAGAATCCATGTATAGTATATACGTATGACTTCAGGATTCTGAGCTGCAGGGCGCCTCATATGACTACATGTACAACAAACAACAAACTCCCGAGTTTACTCACATGAACCCTGAGAATTACGCCATGAATCCATGAAAGATGCTTTTCCTCTACAAACCGATGGTTTTCTGGGTCAACGTTAGTCTTCAAATGGGTGCTTCTAAATATATCTGAACATATATCCCTCACGATCCTTCGACTTCGATCCATTCGCTGGACCCGACCCCGACCCCCCTTGGGTCGCCTCGCAGGACCCCGACCCGGCGGGGGGTTCGGAACCCGGCGCCGGCGTGTCTGGCCTCAACCGCTGCGTTCCACGCCGCAAAAGACCATGGCTGAGGACTATGTGTTTTCCATCGCTGGATTTCAGAGAAAGCTGGACTCTCACTACGTGGAGGGGAAGCGTCCACCGCTCCTGGAGGCGTGGTGTGGGAGCACGGGTCCCGTTTCACCGGAGGATTCAGCGGTTCGTTTCGTGAATGCGTTCCGGCTGCTGAAAGAAAGAGATGAGCGACAAAGTGATCCCACAAAGTGACACAGAACCTGAACATATACAATGTACAATGCCAGCTTCCTATGTACAATGCCAGCCATGGCATGCTTTTGTTTGAACAACACAACAACACAACCATGTGTTGGGCTGGTCGTGTTGGTCGCCTTAGCTTCGGCGGAGATCGGGTCGCCGAACCAACCCCGGGACCTGCCGTGTGTTTATACAGTGAAACGGGAGCGATGTGGCCGGAGCTTTCCGCGGTCGGTGCAATGTGCACGACTCTGTGAAACTCGCAAAAGAGCTACTAGTAGCTTCTTGTTCCTAGTAGTAAGTTAAGAATGACTGTAAGAATGTTCCTAGTAGTAAGCCACATGTGCCCCTAGTAGCGTTCTTGCTCCTATAGTAGCGATGCCAGGAGCCCCTAGTAGCTTCTTGTTCCTAGCAGTAAG